TAGCCTTTCTGCGTTAACGTCACTTGCATTGCCATGGCGGTCGCTTACAAGCCAGCTTTCCGCTATGGCGAAAACAAAGTAGAAGAGGACAGCGACGAGTCGACGACAAGCAAGACGGGTGCAAGGCGATAAGCAAGGCAGAAAGTGAATTCGGGCCTCGTAAACAGATGCATAGATCTACGAGCAAACGTGTCTATATATGCCAAAAACCCGAGAGAGAGAGAGAGAGAGAGAGAGAGAGAGAGAGAGAGAGAGAGAGAGAGGCGTTATTATGGTTTCTGCAGTTTGCTGCCTCTGTTGATCTGCTGGGCGGCGTTCCCGACACACATGTCGCCCACATGGAACGTCGGTCCAATATATAACATGGTCTAGTATATATTAAGTTACTCGGCGCGACGCCGCCCATGGTGGCGGCCAATGGTGGTGTCAAAGGCACTCTTCGATGGCACGAATACAACAAAAAACGACCGTGTGAGTGTGCCCCAAGAAGCGACTACGAGTGAGCGTGCCTTTCAAACCGACTATGTGCAAGCATGCCCTAAGAAACGACTACTATGTGTGAGCATGCCCGAAGAAACAGCTGTGTGTGAGAATGCCCTAAGAAACGACAATGCGAGCATGCCCTAAGAAAAGAATCACTCCTCCGGGCCCTGCAATGTGAGTACATACGCCCTCACATGACCAGAATTGTGGTCAGGTTCGTCCTCAGGCTGGCGGACAGTCACGAGCTGGGCAGTCACGGCATACTCACACCGCGAACATTCCCACTTCTCCTTGAAGGTAATTGTGGTCAGGCTTATCCTGGCGGTGTTAGAAAAGCAGCGATATACATCCACGGAGCTACTGTGACTCTGTGAGTACGCCCTCAGATGAACAGAATAACACACGAGGACCTTTTTCTTCTCACATCTGAACGTAGTGGCGGTAAGATACAGATATGCTGGGCCGTAATCTCAGTCAGATACCTCCAGAAACGTTCTACTGTGAATACGCCCTCAATGTTTTGGGGAAAAGTTGTAAGACCCCCCGCAACAAAACTTCCCTTTTTTTTTTTTTTTTAAAGCTCCGATCTATTCGTGGGGAGCAGCACGTGCTGGGAACGGGGCCCAGAGTCCCTTATAATAAGAATACAATGCTTAATAATGGTTCAGGATGATTTGAGGATGATTCCAGATGATTCCAGATGATTCCAGATGATTCAGGAAGATTCAGGATGATTCAGGATGATTCAAAGGCTATACGCTACTGGATTATAAACAGAGGGTCAGCTCTCTCCCCTGAGGGCACTCTCACACTAGGTACCCAAATTCCCAAAAAATGGGAAAATGGGAACGGCCGTTTTGAGGAAATGCGGCCCTAGCCGGTCACACTGCGTTCCCAAAACGCTAAAGACAAGATCGCTACATCGTGCTCTTCGAGGTGCTTGTGCAGGACGCCGGTCACACGCTGGATACCCAAAAGGGAAATGCAAATTTTCGTTTTTTATAATCTGCTTTTTTCCTTTTTTTTGGGGGGGGGTCTTGACTGCTGGCCGTTTGCACCAAAAAAAGGGACACGCACGTCTCACCGCTCCGCGCGTGCCCCCATTTTCCCAAAATTCGTTTTAGTCAATTGATAGGCCGCTAATATCGTGGGTTTCCATTTTTTTCCAATAATGCAAGATAATTCAGAAAAAGATTTGAGAATTTGCGGTAACCTCCAGAGGTCACCGCAAATTTCCTCCCCCCGCGGCTTCGCAGGCCGCTGACAAATGGTCACCCCTTTTGAGAATTTGGGCAGATGTTCAGCATGTGTGACTGTCCGGGAACCCTCTTTTTTTGGGGAAATGGGGATTTGGTACCTAGTGTGAGCGTGCCCTGAGAGAGAGAGAGAGAGAGAGAGAGAGAGAGAGAGAGAGAGAGAGAGAGAGAGAGAGAGGTTGGTATAGACGCGTGTCGTCTCTACCCCGACGTTCGAGCCATGCGCGCGGAGAGATAGCGAGAGGCTTCTTCGATTCATAGGCTGACGAAACTCGGAATGAATCTTACCCTACAACATGGAAATATACACTCTCGGAATGAATCTTACGCTACAACATGCAAATATACACTCTCGGAATGAATCTTACACTACAACATGGAAATATACACTTTTTTTTTCTTTTTTTTTTTGTGTGTGTGTGTGTGTGTGTGTGAGAGAGAGAGAGAGAGAATGAGACACGGAGAGAGAGAGAGCTTACCGGAGACGTTCCCCGTTCCCAATGGCGGGGGTTTCGGGGCCGGCGGAAAGGGGGAGGGAGACACAGAGAGGTGGTGGCCAAGGGCCGATGAATCAGGTAAGCACCCGGAAAGGGGGAGGGAGACACAGAGAGGTGGTGGCCAAGGGCCCATGAATCAGGTAAGCACGTAACGTATCTCTGGAAACTTTTTTTTTTTTTTTTGGAGAATCTCTGAACAAATGAGACTGAATCCTCCGCTTGAACATGGAAAGATACATTGCCATATTTGGGCCTCGCTGCACTACTCTGGAAATGTGCAAAACGAGAGTGAATCTTGCGTTAGAATATGGAAAGATACACCGCCAATACTTTTGTCTTTTGTGCATGTTTCGAAAACCGTGGCCACCATCCGAAAAAGCAGTCCACGGCTACCCGCCCGAACCGCGTCCCGCCAGAGGCCAAAAACGGGAGGGCCTGCTACCGGTACCTCACCCCAGGAAACACACGCCAGGCCACGGGAACGGTACCACTAGCCCAGGACACCTCCCGTTTCTGCGAATTATTGAACCGGTAGGCCGTCGCACGCGTACTTCACTGTTTTCCTTGGAGTTTCGAACTTGTCTTCGCCCGAACTTGGAGTGGACTGTTATTCCTGCGAATTCGAAACTGTGCAGCGGTCACCCGCGGAGTTATTTCATATTTATTTATTTTTTTCCCCCTTGCTCTAGGAAAGCTGCACCCTAAAATTCGTTCTACAAGGTACGTACCTTGTATTCGAATACAAGTTACCCCCCCTACCTTGTATTCGTATACAAGGTACGTACCTTGTTTTCGGGTTAAGAAGGTAGGGGCAGACCCACTTGCAACCCTGTTTACCTCAACGCATGCCATTCCCCCAAAAGTATGCTCCGATCTTTCCGCTGTTCTAATCTGCCACCGCTAGATGTCATCCTGCTCCAGGTTAGTACATCCCACGTTCAACCTTTACTCCTTACAGAGCAATCACCTCCCACCTTGTGATGCTCTTATAGAGATCGGTTCCCTCCATACTACCCGCTTACCATCTCGCCTGTATTCAATGAATAGCGACTTAGAGGAGAAAAAAGTTGGAAAAGGACAATAATGAAAAGACCAGTGAAAAAGGAGATGATGATGTTGATTATAATGTTGATTAGGGTTGAGCTTCCCCTCTCCTCCCCATCTCTTTCCCCCCCCTACTACTGTTGCTCCAAGGCAGGTGTCTGCCCCTACCTACGTGGTAATATCCTTCACCTCCTGAGCAGACGACTTCGCGGATACCACCATTTTTTTTTTTTTTTTTTTTTTTTTTTTTTTAAGGAAACAACCCGGTCAGGTGCTAGGTGTGCTGATAAGGACTGAGAATCCTGTGGAGAGATCTCAATGTAATAGGCCCTAGATTTAGCCTGGCCTATTAAACCTCTAGTACACGGCCCCAGCCTTGCAGGAAGTTTCTGTCGCCACAAGCAAAACTCGGAGGCCCGCCGTTGAAAAAAAATCGGCGGCCTCCGAAGTGGTGCCCCGGTGCGGGTCTCACGCTGACACCCGCGGGCCGATAAGTGGTGTACTGGTGCTTTAAACCACCAGTACCTCACCCAGCCTGCAAAATCGTCGCGGTCGTTAACGGGCCGAGACTGGGGCCCACGGCCATCGAGATTTCGCATCTACGGTCCTTGGCGTGGTGCAAGCCTCCGAAAGTTGCGGTGAGGGGCCCACGGCCGATACATGGATGAGATACTGGTGGTTTACACTAAGATAACAGAGAAAGGAAGCTGGAGAGACTGAGTGGAAGGACATTTGAAGGAAGCAGAGATCTGCTGGAATAACCTGGACTCTCGGTTTAGCTTGTTTTGCCACAGTCGGTTGGCTTGTTGAGAGTCACTAGTCTGATAGGAACTATCCCCTGCAGGCTGCAGTTCCTCTCGGTCTACGTAGACCGGGATCAGGCCATCCTTAGGCCTGAGTACTCCTCTACTCTTCCTCCTCTCTTATTCTGAGACGAGTAAAGATAGTTGGAGTGAATTCTTTGAGCTGCAATTGCACCCTTCTCTGAGATAAACTAAGCTGAGTAGATCTCTCCGTACTTCCGGGTTGAATTGTGAGGTCCAGGGCGTCAAACAGTTTCTATAACATAAGAAATGGATACTTAAAAAAAAATAAAAAAAATCATTGATTGGGATTGTGGTTGGCGCATAGGGTTTGTTCTTTTATGTAGAGAGCGATTTAACTTCGTTGTTTTCCCTTCTAGTAGTTGTGCTCTAGTTTGGGATTTTGTCGGATGATCTTCTGTGGTCTCTTATTTTATTTATTTATTTTGGGAAAATAGACCGTGTTATATCCCTCTACCCTGGTGGTGGTAAGAGAACTGTCAGAATTGAGGGCTTATCTGTCGGGCTGCTCCATCTATTGAGGGGAATGTGACGCGCTAACCTCACGCCCTGTGTTGTCTTCCGTTCGGAGTGCTAAGAGTGTGGTAAGGGGGCCCAGAAAAACAGCAAGATGGGGTGTGCCAAGGATTTTTGGAAAATTGAGTGTGGGGACACAGACAAAACTGAAATCCCCCGTGTTGGCCCGATGAAGTAAGTCGGTTGCTTTCGCGCATCGCGGAATGCGCGCCCGGGCACGGCGCAAAAAGAGAAAAATCCAAATTCAATCCAAAAAGTATTGTCGAGCTTCCCACCGTGCTACGGATCTTCGTTTAGAGCGGAAGGGCTTTGGCACACTCCGCATATCCTGTTTCCGTATTAAGTCCCGATGTCGCTTGTGGGTCAGTTCCGAGTCTGACGTGGATGGTCTCTACCGTGTGGCTCTTTCCTTGTGCTTGTCTTCACTCCGTATCCGGTAGTGGAAGCCCTTCGATTCGTAGCGATCGAAACGTTGACACTCAGTGCACAGGGTTCGAGGCCAATGGGGCGCCACTGCCGTCCATGGAATGACGATCGGCTC